TTTGTTGATGACGGTGGTAGTGGCCGAAATGCGTTAGACGAAACGCACGAGGCAACGAAGCAAGAACGAAGTTTCGAAGTGCTTGGAATACTGTATGGCCNAGAAAGCGGCCTACCCACTAGACTACTTTGTCGCGCGACTAAGTAGTCTAGTGGGTAGACCGCTTTCTTAACAAAATATATGCTGTGTGGGTTCACCGGCAGGGATCTCCGAGGTCTTACACCCCTCGCCGCGCACTCCTGAAGGCCTAGGCCTGACCAAGACTTTCTCTCAACAGAAACGCTCCTGCCGGGATTTGAACCCGGCAACCCCGGCAGTCGCGTCTTAGTAGTCTAGTGGGTAGACCACTTTCTTAACGAATTCTATGTCGTGGGTTCGAATCCCGGCAGGAGCGTTTCTTTTGAGAGAAAGTCTTGGTCAGGCCTAGGACTTCAGGAGTGCGCGGCGAGGGGTGTAAGACATTGGATATCCCTGCCGGTGAACCCACACAGAAAGAAAGCGGTCTACCCACTAGACTACTTAGTCGCCGCGACTAAGTAGTCTAGTGGGTAGACCGCTTTCTTATCACAGCTTGTTTGGGAGGCGGGTGCACTGCTGTATGTACTCTGAATCTACATAGATACGCGAGACCACAATGATATCAGATGTTCGCCTCATATTTCGGCAGGTACTCTAGAATAGCGAACCGATGGTAGTCTACAAAGTGTGTGCGTATCCCCCAATATTTAAAATTGAAGAGAATACATATCATCTACAAGTGAGTATTGGTGACATGATGAGCCCCTTCGTAGGCACAATTTGTTCGATCAAACCGTTCCCCTGATTCTCTGTCTCGGTACAGCAGTGTTCTGTCTGAGGGACAACACGTCCAGACATTATTTTCAAGCAGTGGCATTGCTTTCAGGCACTAGTCTATAATACTGCTGTAAGCTACGTAGAGCTCCGTCCACGGGAAACCTCTAACGAGCACGGCGCGATATCTCTGCACCCCTTTTCGTGCTAAGCAAGGTAGTGGAGAAAAAAGTGCTCCATTAGACTAATACGTGGTTGAAATAGACGTACATACCTCTGAGATTTTCTCCAAGGATGCCTGAAAAAATTCGTCGCAGACTATCGCCAGCCCGTTGAACGTGAACAATATCGCTATCACGAGCAGCATCACCGTACCCGCACCCCCGCCCGAGAAGGCAATGTCCGCGCATGCCGCGGCTGCTCCCTCCTCTTCTTCCTCGCCTGCCAATCCCTCTACCGACTCTTGCTGATCTTCGTCGCTCGTGACAAGAAGCAAACGACTCAAAACGCCACTGCTGCTACGATCGCCGCCGCCGGCCACGGCGACTGAAAGATACCGCTCTCCGATCTTCCTTGCGTGCAGTCCTTCTGCTGCTGCTTTTTTCAACGCCACCCCAGCCATCTCTTTCCTCTCCCCCGGTATTCTCGCTTGGGTTCTCAACGTCGTCGTTGTTGTTTCTATTGTCTCCGCCCGATGCGCCTCTGTTGAGCTGGAAGCCCATACGACGACCACCCCTGCCCCGACTACCCCGACCGTGTACACAAGTCTCAACAGGCGAACCCTTCGCCGGTAGGCTGTTGTTGCTCTGCCTCCCAGTTTTCGTCTCTGTGGTGGTCTCGATTCGCAACCGTTCCTCTGCCGACGCCCGCGCCGGCAACCGACAACATCATCGCCGTGTGTATCTCTGCTGCCATCGAGGTCCCTCCTCGATGCCGAGAACATTGCGAGGAATGATCGGATGATCCACGGCCTGCTGCGAGAGATTTCTGGCGTCGTGTGCGCGTGTGTGTGTCGTTCCACTTGCTTCCCCGCGCGTGCCGCCTGCTGCTTCAACTGCTGCGGCTATTGCTGGGATTGCATATACACGACATTCGCCAGGCACGGCGCTGTCAATCACCCATGAGCTCACGTCCTTGCCCTATGAAGGAAGGGCGGTGGGCATTGGTCGTGTTGTGTTCGATGGTCTCTTTTCTCGGAGTATTTTTTTTGAAACCGCCATATGCATGTCTGAACAGGCACCGCGCGGCGAAAGATATCATCATGGCGCTGTGAAGAATATCTTGTTAAAATTGATATCTTTCACATTCATCATCCAGGCAGCCACAGAGTGGGTAGAAAAATGCGATTTGCTTAACACAGCAGTCCATTAGTCTAAACATGAACGCTACGAGGTTGCCGTGTGCTGGGCGTCGTATGAATCTTGTGGGCACCGCGCAAGTCTACGTGATTGGTTGTTGTGCAGGCGGTTTAGTAGATGCTAAGAAATGTGTGCAGCAGTCACGGATGTAGTACAGAATACTGAATTGGTGAGGACAACATATTTAGTTGCCACTGCTGTGTGTAGCGCTCACTAGATGGTGCCGAGTCGTCGTTCCTATTTGTTCGTCTGTTCGGAAGCACATCTTGCGCCAAATGGCCAGTGCTGATGAACTTCAGTTCGTAGTTCAAACCGGCAGCGATTTATTTGTTTGACGTGTGGCGACTACCGCACACACCCCACAACAACCACCTACTATCATCGTGCTCAGGTTGATGCTGCACAGACCACTTGCAACAGGACCCGCCGCACCAAAAAACATGCTCTGGGCGGAGGGGGGGTTCTGTGGGGGATATATTCAAAAAACTTTTTGCCTCCTGTCGGGATGATCGGATTTTCATAAAACAAATTGCGTTGGATAGTCTACCTCACGACGCGCTGAAGTTTTCTTTCGATTTTTGTTTAATTTTTTGGAAAACGGGGGGGGGGGGGGGGGGGGG